ACACACACACACACACAAAACACACACACACATCCCTCCCCCCTCACACACACACACACCTACACAACATATCACACCACCACAAATTGACGTCATCTCCATTTATATCTGGACCAGATATACAAAAGCAGCCCCGTGCATTCCCCTCAAACCTTTCCCTCCCCAGTTAAGCATTAAATAGTAAGCTAGAATAAGTGGGTAATGTATGAACAGCCGACAGGAGAGAAACACATGTTACGTCGACGGGTAAGGAGTGGGGGATTGAAAACCAGGGGGATGACGCCGCTCCCACTAATAGTTTAGTTTTAGTAGGAGTTTTATTTTACGGCACTTCCAACACAATTAAGTCATACAAGTGCCGAAAATGAGAGGTGTTACTCGAGAGTAACAAACACAAAACAAAAGGTAAGAAAGACAAGGATGACAGATGTTTAATAGGAAAGAAGGGGCAAACCACAACAGTAAAGCACCCGCCAACCATCCACACGCTATAATCAGACAGTAAGCTAAAAGTGGGTAGGCTAATGTATGAACGAACAGCCGACAGGGGGGTAACACACGTTACGACTGCGGGTACGGGATAAAGTTAAGTTTCAGTAAGGGTATTACGGCACTTCCAACACAATTAAGTCATAATATAAGTGCCGAAAACTAGAGGTGTTACTCGAGAGTAACAAACACAAAATAGAAGGAAGATAGAATATAAGGAAGGTAGACGTTGATAGGAAAGAATGAGCAAACCACAACAGTGAAGCACTCGCCAACCACCCACGCGCTAAAAGTAAGCTAAAAGTGGGTAGGCTCATGTATGAACAGTCGACAAGGGAGAAAAACACACGTTACGTCTGCGGGTACTGGATTAAAAAGCAGAGCGAGGGGGCCGCTACGGAGAGCATGAGTGACCGTAGTTTACCCAGAAAAGCAATGTCAACGGTCGCACCGCACCGCACCGCACCGCACCTAACCTACTCGGAGGACCGAACCAGACAGAAATAAACCCCGACGATCTTTACCTTGGAGTATCTTTACCTGTCTTTGAGTCATTTTTATTTGGGAAGGATACAATCCCCCAAGTGTGCTCCTACTTGCCTCGCTAGGAGCCCACTCTTTGTCTGCGTCGCGCGTGTTTGCATATTACATTTTTACTCCGTAAGCCCCTTTAATGCCTTAAATGCCGACAACAGCAATCTCATATATCCAGATATTTTGTTATGAGAAGCCCCGTCCGTAACGGAACAATGGGGAAAATGTTTTGCGCAACCGTATACTGAACTAACGTTACAGCATAGCGCAGCAAACACTTCTAAAGGCTAGCTGGACAGGGGCTGAGGTTTCAAGGCGAACGAGACATTAATACCATGAGAGACGGCCTTATTCTCATCGAAACAAGAAGCCTTGCGCCTCTTTCAGCATCGTGTTGGTAACTTCATATGAGACGGTTTTTGAAATTCCGCATAAAAATGTTTCCTATATGATAGAATAGAGATCCTAAAACTACTCAAACCACCTGGGTCCTAACATAAACCCCTACACATGCACAACCCCAGCAGTAGATTTGAACCTGAATCACCACAATTCTCCCCCCCCCCCCCAAAACATATAAAAGAAAGAAAACGAGAAATGAAAAAGGAACAAAGAGGCAGTAGCTTAAGGGATAACAAATAATAAATAAGGAGAGAATACAAGAATGAATAAATTAAAAGGGAAAAAGGGAAGGAAAAATGCAAAGTGGGCGACAGGAATAACACAGTGCATCTTAAACAGGAGTACGTCGATACGACACGAACGTTAATAAAGACAAGCAATAGATAGACAAAGAAAACATAACATAACAAAGGAAGGAAGGAAGGAAGAAAAAAAGAAGGAAAAAAAGAAAAAAAAGAAAGATATTACGAGTTTTCAAGTGTTCTTGCAGCTTACACTTTATTAGAAAAAAGGAAAAGAAAGAAAACAATTGCAAAGAAGGACCCACCTCTCCATCAGTAGACGGCGTCTCGGCCGAGTAGCGCTCCTCGCAGATGACGTCCGAGAGACTGTTGACCACACGCTTGGCCACGCCCGGGAACGACTTGTCGCAGTTCTGGGCGAAGTAGCGGTACACCTTCCACGTGCGCCCGAAGTCGAAGGACCGCTCGATGAGCATGGCCTTGGGCCGGAACGTCTTGAAGGTCATGATGAGATGGGTGAAGTGGAACTCGGCCTCCAGGTCCAGCTGGATGTACACGTTCTCCACGCCCGTCTTCGCTTGCCACCAGCGGTTCTTGCTCTCCTTGAAGGAGGAGACGATGTTCTCGATGCGGTGGCTCTGCTCGGTGAAGCCCTCGCGCCAGGGCTGCCGCGAGTCGCACGTGAAGCATTTGGTGTCCTTCTCCAGGTAGCTGACCACGCAGTAGCGCTGTGGCCGGTCCAGGCCGCATGTGGAGGAGGCGCTCAGGTTCTGGGCGCGCCCGATCAACAAGTCTCCCGTGGCCGGGTAACAGCTGCCCTGCTCGCACTTCGGCTGTCGTCTGCCTTGCCCTGAGCTTCCTGTAAGAATGAAAAAATAATCCGATTCTTGAGTAATGAGGGCCAAACCGATAGCGGGGGAAAATGCCATTCAATATGCTGTTGTTTGTTTGAGTAAAGAGAAACACATCGACACAACAACGGTCACTTAGAGCAGGGAGAAGGCAAGGCAGACAGATAGAAACAACAGAAGAAGAGTAAAGAAGAAGGTCCTGCCAATGACACCCTCTCATCACCCATGAAAACGAACAAAACAAAATGGCGACCTGCTAATTTCAAACTTTTGAAAAAATAAAGGCACATTGATACGACAACCGTCATTTATTCACAGGAAAAAGCAAGACCAACAGACAGAGAGAAAATATCTAGGTCCACCAGTGGCACCCACCAAGTACTCTTTACGTTGAGAATTGTTTTAGTTAGACTTTAACAACACTTGCAACCCAAACAGGTGACATAAGTGCCAAAGTCAAAGAGGCGTACCTAGATAGCAATATACAAAGAAGATAAGGAGAGAGAACTAAAAACGATAGATGTTTTACAAAACAGAAGGCGCAAACCCCAGCAGGGAATCTGTCAACAATCCACACGTTACTTTGAACTTGGGGGAGGGGAGGGTTGAGAGAAAACAGTTGAGTTGCAGTTAAAGGATGAGTGAAAGCACGATAGCTAGCTACCTCATTTTGACAGAAGCAGATGACGAAACTATAAATTAAAGCTGAAAAGAAATAAAATCAGCAAACAACACCAGAGCATCCTTCGACCACTAGACCAATAATAGCAAGAGAATTATTTTGAATATCTGAGGTAACAACACTAGCATAAAGGCAGAGTTTTGACTTTCCGGGTCTAAAACGATGTCGTGATATAGAGACAGATATAGACTCAAAATGGGCAGAGAACGAACCTATAAAAAATGAGTGAGGCCTTTTTGTAAATAAGTGAGTTCAAGTATGCGCGTTCGTGTGTGCATGTACGGTGTGTATGGCTTTTTTTTTCTTCAAAAATCACCCCAGCAATGGTTCAAGATGAGGTTCCACCGAAGCAGATCAAGGTAACTGTCCGCCTGTTGGTTGTCCCAGAATTTGGTGCTTAAATGTGTACGGTCCGATGCATGTGTATATATATATATATATATATATATATATATATATATATATTTAATTTAAAAAATTATAAGAAAAGTGACGTCTCAAACAACGTCACCAAAAGCATGGGCATTGGTTGCTCTGAACTATGAGTCAGGTATATCATTTAAAAGCCTGGCCTTGCTTGCTAAGAGTAGATTGACATTATCAACTCCTGAGGTGTGTTCCCACCGTAACTGTTCCAAAAATGGCATTAATGGGTGGCTCTGTGCTCTGTTTCTGTTAGCTTCGTTTATTTGTTTGAGGTTGGGGGTTTTATGTCCTTGCTTTTCCCTTTTCTTCTTTTTACTATTTTTCTTTTTTAAAGGAAGATCAGGCTTTACGGCAAGATGGACGAAAGCACGTAAAAAAATGTAAAATAACAACTCTGAATTCGGGGGCACAAAGTCCAGGAAAAGGTTGTTCACACACACGCACGCACGCACGCACGCACACACACACACACACACACACACACATACACACACACACACACACACGCACGCACGAAGACACACACACACACACACACACACACACACACAAACACATACAAGTACACATGGGCGCACATACTCGAACTAAGAGGGCAGCACATCTTGTACTCGAATTAACCTAGTTTCCGTTTAACACATCACAAAGTTTTCAAACTCTAGGTATCATTAATGAGGTCACAGGCATCGGAGAGTGAATCAGGAGGTGACGGCTATATTCCTGAAACGGGAAACACTAACCGAGGAAATGAACCCATTCAACACGAACGTTTTAGGCTAAATTAATCGAGTCCATAAAAACCAAGCTTGGAAAAAGGCCAAGACAACGCTTGGAAACGGGAGAATAATTTTTAGTTTTAGTAAGAGTTTTACGGCACTTGTAACACAAGAAGGTCATACAAGTGTTGAAGATCAGTTTTAGTAGAGGTTTTTACGGCGCTCGCAACTGCATAAGGTCATATGAGCGCCAACAGATTAGAGGTGTTACAAGAGAGTAACAAACATAAAAAAGAAGAAGGGGGGAGATAACGACGATAGATGTTTGATAGGAAAGAAGAAGCAAACCACACCAGAGCACCCGCCTACCACCCACGTCGAAGATCAGAGGCGTTACAAGAGCAACAATTACAAAAAAGAAGGACGAGAGATAAGACCGATATATGTTTGATAGGAAAGGAGCAAACCACATTAAAGCACCCGCCAACCATCCTCGGGAAACACTAGCTGAGGAAATGAACCCAACAAGCACACTCGGAAGGCCTTGGGCTGTACTAATTGAGACTATAAAATCAAGCTTGGAAAAAAGCCAAGACAACGGGTGGAAAGAGGAGAAAATTATAGAGGCCAGTAATTAAAAAATAAAGGACTTGATAATGACAAGCGTTCCTGTCACGCAATGAATTTCGGAAACCCAGGAAGGGGAGAGGGAAATACAAGAAGTTATGGCAATCTGAAAACTTAGTTCTAGAGGGACGTGGACCGTGGTATTCCCTTTTAAAAGAAACGTAATACATGTACAAGGAGATTTTGTCATCACATTGCTTTGCATCACTTGCACGAAACCGGAAATAATTCAGGGGGGTTTGAATAGGAACAGGTTTGTAGGTTGTTGTTGTTTTTTTTTCCCCTTTCTCCTTTGTACTGACATGCAATTTGTCAAAAGAAAACGAAATACTTTCACCGTTTCCTTTTTCTCATTGGTAAAACCTCTTATTCTTTTTTTTAAAATCCAACATGAAATTATTGCCAGGACAAAAGTTTTTGTCAAGTAGATCTAAGCACTGTGAGCTAAAACTATTCGCCCGATTGGAGAGTTGGGTCGGTATTGACTCGATTCGGCTTCGGTTTTGGTTCCACTGTTTGTTTGTATGTTTGTTGTATTTTGAGGGAGGGGTAATTCCTTTCGATGGTTCTTTTGTAGTATTTGTGTGTATGTGTGTGTGTGTGTGTGTGTGTGTGTGTGTGTGTGTGTGTTTGTGTGTGTGTTTTGGGGAAAGGGGGGGGGGGGGCTTTTTATGTTTGTTTTGGATTTCTTTACCGTTGATTGCTATTGCAGATTCATTGTTGTCGTTTGTGTGTGTGAGGGGGGGGGGGGGTAAACACATAGGCATGAACAGCAACATATTTATATAAGTTCAGTTACGGAATCAAGTCGTTGTGTGCAGTGATAGAGAACGAAAACGGCACGGAATGGATTAAAACAACAATGATCAGAACGGACAAACAACGCAAGAGCGCCCGCCATTCACTTTCCGGAGATCATGGACATTATAAGAGAAAAAAACATTTACAGAACAATGACAGACTGATCAGTGTTTTATTACAGAACCCAAATTGGGGACAGACAGAAAAAACATTCCCACTGTCAATCCCAACCACTCCTCAGTAAAAAGCCATAGGGCAAAACATCACCACAATGCCAGCGGTGAGTTGCCAGCTGACGGAGTTGACAACACTATGCCAAGCAATCATATGCAAAGGATTACAATAATTTACAGGAGTGGTAGCTCAGGAGACAAGCTATCACGACACGATATCATGTTAGCGTGGTTCGCTTGAGGCAGCGCACCAATGCGACACAACCAGCTACGGGAATTTTTTTTTAAGGAAGTGTTTTTACACCCCTATCGACACGATTTCTATTATATTATATAATATTATATTGGAGGCGAGCTTCCGACCCTGTCTGCCGGAGCAAACCTGGGCTGAGAGGGACACAACATCCCAGCAGAAAGACGGAGATACACGACAAAAAGTTTCTCCTCATTTGAAGTTGGACCCACCAACGGCACTCTCAAATCACCCAAAAGCGTAGTAAGAAGAGATTTTATAGACAACGCTATAAAACCAAAACATCCGAGGAAGGAGACAGCGGGTTTGGGTTTCCCATACTTGTCTAAAACAGCAGAGAACAAAGTAGGGTCAAATCTGCTCAAACAGCCACGTGACCTGTATAAGACAATCACCTGTACAAATGGCCAATTCCCATTTCCCCCCTTGTGTATATTTTACATTATAGTGGCTTTGTAAGACGACCACATGTCTAAGACGGAGCTATTTTCCTCCTAGACAATGGGTGGCTGTCTTTCACAATTTCGACTGCACATGTCAAATGATACAGGCACAGATCGCCCTAGAAGCACTAAGAGGTTTTTTTGTTTGAGTAAAGAGAAGCACACCGACACAATACAATAATGATCATTTAGTGTTGGAAAAGGTAAGACAGACAGAAACAACAGGGGGAAAGTAAAGAAGTTATTGTTGTTGTTGCTGTTGTTGTTGTTGTTGTTGTTGTTGTTGTTGTTATCGATCCAGCAACAGCTGGGCTCTGGCCCTTCTGTCCAATGCCATGTAGTGATAAGTGCAGGTTTGCTGCAGTTGCTGTAATGTTCCATAGAGTGTGTTGTCAATGTAAGGTTTCGGAGGGAGAAGGGTAGCTCTGATGTCATTTAGGGCTGTACAATGGAACAGGTGATGCTCCACGGTCTCATATGCATAGTCACACAAGGGACACATTGGGGGAAGTTCCGGGTTTATTCTGTTCAGGTGAAAGTTGAGCTATATGTTCTGTTCGTAGGCGGAAGATCGTGGTCTGTTTCTTTCTCTGAAGGCGGTTGATATTGTCATTCCTTTTTGTTGTGGTCATATGTTTGAAAACTGCCCTGTCTGTCTTTCCCAGGGCCCATCTGTTCATCCAATCTTGCTTGTTGTTGCTTTTGATGATTTGTTTTGCAGTGTTGTATGAAGTTGAAGTGTTGGGTTGTTCCTGTCTAGATCCCCGTTTGGCAAGTGTGTCTGCTCTGTCATTTCCAGGTATGTCTGAGTGTCCGGGGACCCACTGCATTACTAGGCTGATGCCAAAGGATGTTATCCCATGATGGGATCCAAACAATACATGGGTC